ATTTGAGAAGAAAAGGTGAATCTGGTTCTTGTGACATTCAAAACAATCATTTAGAGTATTTATGAAATTCTAAAGATTGAAACATCTTATTCTCAGAGATCATTGTACATGTTTACATCCCTTATTATACACATATTTCTATATGCTTCAGGCTGTACTTTATCTCCTGTGAATTTTATTTCAGACAATGGTTGTCATGTGGAGTATTTATCCTCTGTTTTTGTTGAGTATTTTTTCTTGATAGTGATATTATCCCAATGCTAGCCTCTCATAGCTGATGTATAAAAACTAGTGTCTGACCTTCATATTAGTTAAACACATGGAGTGCTTTAATGCAAATCTGTAGCTATTAAGAATTTTGTTTATGTATTAGGAATACTGCTAAAATCCAAGATAATTTTGCATTGATAAGCAATATAGACAGAAACCTTAGATTAATTGGTAAGGCTGACCTATTTTGAATTCCTTGTTTGTTTTATTGTGGAATACAAGACTTTTTAAGTCCAGTAAAATAGTATAGTTTATTCTTTTTTGAGTTAAACATCTTTTAAAAAAATTTTGTTTCAGAAACAAAATACAGTCATGTAAGTTGAATGTTCCAAGTATTGAATGAATGTTTCATGGATGTATTCTATTCATGTAAGCTTTTACAAATGTTACCTAGAAAAGAGGCAGCCAGAAAGGTTGAAACTGGGATCTGTTGCCATGTGGATTTGGGAAACAGTGCAGTGAAAGTCTTCAGTTGCCCTTGACCATTTTTGTTTCAGCCTTCACTGGAGTTGGAGCTTGATTAATGCTCAAACTGAAGGACAAGATGGAGCTTTTTGGTCCATGGACTGCCTAGTTAGCCCTAGCTTTGCCATCAGTACTGGTGCTGTAAGCTGTGGTGGTGACAGCCTCTTACAGTCCTTCGGATGGTGCAGGTTTCTGTTGAGGAACAGAAGGCCTGCATGGAAAAGACAATACCAGAACAGGGTATCTGCCCTGAGAGTGGTTCTTTGTGCTTCCTTTCTCAATACAGCTAATTGCTGGCTGATTGTTTGGCTTAAGCTTTTTGTTATTGAGTCAAGAACTTTATACAAAATTTGTAAAATTTGTAGATCTTGAAATTGATAATTTCTTTATACTATACATGCGAAGTCTTCCCAAAAATGTATCAGTGCTCTTGCTGCCATATGGGAAAATGGTTACTGCAAATATTTGTCTTTTTTTTTTCTATGTGCCTTTGCTGCCATCAGAAAAGTACCTTATTTTTTCCAAAAAACGTGTATTTATCCTAGGTTGACAGCAGTAATATATATAAGCAGAGATTCGCACACACTGGGCTTCAGCTCAGAAGGACCTAAGCTACAAACCTGTTCTTAGGAGGTTAACACTATTTGGCATATTCTCAGTTCATTATCATCAATGTGTGCACTTCTATTCTCATGTATTAGTTTTCACTCCAACAGACTTCCTAGGTTTTTAAATGGAGATAAAATTGCATATGTACTTCTGTCACTTTGGAGAGACTTGTAAAGTTATTTGAATGCTCTGTCTGTATTTGTGTTGAGGGTTCTGCACCTTCTTATCCTCTCTCCCCCACCACACACCTCAGCTGAGATAAAAATCACTAAAATCAATAGAAACAAATGAAATTTTACAAATTCTGCTTAAGAGAATATTTTTAGGGTATCTTTAGACAATTTTTTATGGCTTTGTTGCTGTGACATCAGTATTCAGCAGTGCAGAACTGTATATTAATGCACGTTTTATATCTGCGTATCTCCATTTCTAGGGGGAATTTGTAAGACTATAGTCAAGGAGTGTGATATTCCAAAAGGATGTCATTTTTGCAATCTAACAATGCCTAGTCTTAATGTGGGAAAATCTCTCTGTCTGAGGAAGAATACAATATATGCATAGATCAGTCAAAAACCTCTGCTTCCTCCCCATGCTGAGCTGACAATATCATAATTAAAGTGCATGGTGTAAATGTTTATTCATAACAAAAGCTTTGATCACTCTGATTTATTTTCATCAACTGGGAAAGTATATGGCATTCAGATTTTTAAAATTCTTATTTAAGATATTATCCTTAAGATTTACCACTATTAGGGACAAGATGGTTCCATGTCTTGTTTGAATTGTTTTGTTGTTGTTTCCAGGAAAGTGTTGTTTCCAGGAAGACAAATGATGAGTATGAAGTGCTTTTTTCAAGCACCTAGGGGTGTCTGCTGGATGACTGAAAAAGTGTTGGCTCATGGATGTAACAAACTTCTCTGACTGGCAATAGGATTTTGTGGGAGCCATGTCAGAGGCAGAATTTTATTATAAAGTAATTGTGCAGGGCTGTATAAATATGTGGATCATTGAAGGAGCAACTGTGTATGGGTGCACTTGGGCCCAATGAAATCTTTGAGAAATAGGTAAAATCAGGAAAAAGTGGGAGATTTGGGTTTGGGGTTTTTTTTCTTAGAGCATTTTTTTTTTTTTGCTAAAAGGCAAGTTATTAATCAGAGGATTAAGTAACATACAGATATACTGAAACAGGGTATAACGAATAAAAATGCCTGAATATCTTGATCACTGTTTATCTCTTATGGTTTTGGTTTGGTTTTCTGGTTTTGTAATGTTCTCAAAGACCCATTATTGTTCTGCATCAGGAACTGTGGTCTGCATATGGTCTTCAACTTTATGTGATCCAGTGGTGATGAGGGTTGTAAGGCTTTGTCATATAATGAGAAAATCAGAACGGTTCTCTAAACTTTTGCTTAGTCCAGAAGATTGCAAAAAAATGTCAAAGTTTTGTTGCTGTGGTGTCAGTAATATATGAAAGACTATGAGGAAATCACACAGCTACAGCTCTTCAAAGCCAAAGGCTTCTCCAGTTGAATTTGCTCTTAGCAGGAGGGCCTTGCAGAAGCTGAGGGACTTATTTTACTGTACACCCATGTTCAGCAGTAGCATAGACTTTTCTGCAGTTCTCATGCAGATGGTTGAACTTTTATGTTCTACTGACTTGTGGGGTGATGGAAGGTGGGAAGATGAGGGTTTGTGTCAAACTAATGGGGAACACAGCATTAGAAAAGACTGTTACGTACCTTTCAGTTGCTGCGGACATCTGTACAATAAATACTGAAGCTGCAGTTTCTGAATGCCATCTGGAGACAAGCTAATCCATGAGATCTTCAGTTTTTGCCTCAATTCCATTTCTCACCTTTTTGAGAACAGAAGATAAAGTGTGCAAGCATGACTTAAGTGTGTTAAAAGTTTAAAGATAGACTTTTAAAAATGGTCTTAGGATTTTCGGACCAGTCATTTTACTGCTTGGCAAAGTTGGCTTCTTTTTTCAACATTTGACACTGGTGACAAACATTAAACATTGCTAAGGAGGCTGACACTGTTTTTGTCCAGAATGTATAGGTCTGTAGCTCACAGTGTGTGTAGCTGTATTTGCAGTATGGTCCTAATTTTCAGACATGTGTTGAGCACTTGCTAGCACACAACTGTATCTGAGATCAAAGCTGAGCCTTTGGCTTGTGACTAAAGTAGGATTCAGTCTTTGTGGCTCTGGAACTTCCTGAGCTGATGGCATGTCAAGATGGCAGGAAAATGCAGTGGCTAATGGTTAGAGTGTTATATTAAAGGTAATTTTTATTTCATACAGTGTGAGCAATACAGTAATTGGTGACTTACAAAGATATTTTGAAGAAAATAACACCTTTCATTATGCAAGGCCTCTTTGAAGAGAGGGCTTTGATAATTCCAGTAGAATGGAAAGGCAGTGGTTGATGTTTACTCCAGTGGTTTATCTGCTTTGAAGAAGAATAAATTATAAATTACCAGTTTTCAACATAGATGAATGTTTTAAGATATATATACTAAGGATAGTTATTGCTTGATGTAATAAATATTCATAACTGGCTGAACAAGGTGAAAGATTATTCTGAAAATGGCACAAATCATTTGCCTTTGTTAAGAAAAAAGATGACCAAGAAATCTAACAACAAAATGAAAGGGTGGCACAATAGGAGGCAAAATTTAGTAGTGACAGATGCATGCTAATTTGCACTGGCAAGAGTTGTTGAAATTGTTAATAGTATTGCTGAGTTCTCTTTGTTGGCTATATCAGCGCAGAGCTGTAGTCAGTGAAAATGCATCTAAGATAGCAAGAGCTGTATTATGCTATTAACCTGTCAAGCATAATGACACAGTATACCATTTCACCCTGGAGGCTAAAAGGAATCAAGAGAGGCTCAGTGATGAGTACTTAATCAATTATACATTTCCTGGAATATTGGTGTCCACTTCTACCCTATGAAGTGCCTAGAGTGAATTGCTAACTTAGAGGGAAGTGGAAGGTGTTTCCACAGGTGGATATTTTCTACGCCAGTGTTTCATAGAGATGAATATAGTTTTCTGAAGTCAAATCATTGGGGTGATCAGGTATAATAATTTTAGGTCAGAGACAACATAACCTATATCTATTCATATTGGCTTGTAGGAAATCAGTATGATATTTTGGTTGTTTTGAGCAATGCTGTCAAATACGTTTGAGTAGATTAATGAGGAGAGGTAAGATAAAACTGAAATATTACCACATGAATTGCAAAAAAATGCAAAAATAGATTAATTTACAAATATGATGAGAAAGCTGGTAGCGAACAGGTCCTACATAAATACCTTTGTATTTAGTTTTGAAATGAAAATAAAAAAACTGGAAAGACAATAACATTATTTGTGTGTGTACGTATGTCTTAGAGTTTTCAGTTACTAGTAGGACATTGAATCCCTGTGGTGTATTTTAGGAGGTTAAGAATTATGATTGATGTTGTCCAACCCATGAATAAGTTGGTAGGTATAGCGACGCTACATGGATTTCTACTTTCAGAGTTATCTTACTGTAGTATATATTCATAACATCATGTCCTTTCCCCAGTTATAAATTGATTGCATTTTCTTGTCCTAACCTACATCTTAATCACTGACTTTATGCTTTTTTTTGTTTTGTTTTCCAGTTTAAAAGAATGCTCAACCGGGAGCTAACCCACCTATCTGAAATGAGCAGGTCAGGCAATCAGGTCTCAGAATATATATCAAACACATTCTTAGGTAAGACTATGAAGAGTTAACTTTTTTGCCTTGTGGTTGTTTTTTATATCTCTCTGGGCTGTTTTAGAGCTTAAAAGCAAGTGGCCTTCCATATTAATTTCTGCTTTCAGAAACTGTGCATTTAGCATCTCATTGTTCAGTGTTTGTGCAGAGAAATCAGTTTAGATCCATTTCCTCACAGCTCAGTTAGCGTGTGTATGTAATTTCCCTGTCTATGTAATTACAGATAAATATTCATATATATATTTTCCTGTAACATTGCAACTACTATATTGCTACCGTATTAAGAAAGTAATACATAATGAATTAATTATATGTTAAAAAGAAGTCTTCCCCTATATTTTCCTTACAGGAATTGCAGCAGAGGTTTCAGTGTGCTAGAAGCATGCAAGAACAAATAACCTCACAAAACCTCATAGCATGCAGTTAAGATACTTTGGTATTCCCTGCCTGCACGTGTGTGGGTAGATGAATAACTAAGTCAGCACCTAAACAAACTTTTGCCAGGAAAATTTGTGCAGCTGAAGAGCCTGATCTGGTGGGATGTGAGCATTAACAAAAGCCCAGCGCAATATTACAGAGTGTGGTTCCTCCTCTATGTTGTTTCTTTTCTTTCCTAAAATTCATGAAAATCAATAAAACTTCATTCCATAGTGTTGATTTTGAATATGAAGATAAAGATACTACACCAATCTCAAACATGCTTTGAGCAAAACACCATTTATTCATAAAGGCTGTGCATATAAGGAGAGGCGCAGCTGAATACATCCCAATTAGGATAACAAGTCCTTTACAAAGTGCCAGTCCTGTATGTTAAGATCCATCTTGTTCTGTGTGAGATACAATAGCTGATGCTTTTCACGTTTGATTTTTTTTTAAAGAAGCGGGGTTTTTTAAAGTACATTTTATCCTCTCACCATGTCCTAAATTAATTGCTTAGTGTCTGTTCAGTTGGCCCACAGTTGCAGGAGTGGCCCAGAGCTGCGGCACAGCAGGGTTACAGATAGTGAGAAGGGGATGAGCCTTTGGCATGGAGAAGAGGCAATACTGCCCAGCTTCAGAAGACCTGAAAGTCACATTGTACAGTTGCCTGAGAGGATGACCCACTTAGGTTGAAAAGACTGAGATGCCAGCTTCTGCTTGCTTTTACTTGAAAACTTAAGACTTACTTTGACAGGGTAAGGAAATGCATCTGGCAGCCTTTCGCATGAGCTCGTGAGCAGCAAGAGGGCTGGAATGGCAATCACTTCTAAGTTACTGAGCCATGGGTACTGTTTTGCATCTTCATGAAAAACTTGGATACTTAAAAATGTAGACCTAAGAGCAATACAATGGTGGAAGCACCTCATTTACAGATGTATTGCTTAAATATTTTCAAAATATGCAGTCTAAGTATATAGGTTGTGAGCAACTATGTAAAGAGGGAAAACATTCTCTCCATAGAAAAATTTAATCATTCTAGTTATTAGATGCATTAAATACAGACTAGTAACTCTACTTATTAGTTATTGTCTAATTTTTTTTTTAATATATAATCTATTTCCTGGACATCTACAGACTTTCTCACATTTGTAAGTTAGGAATGTGTCATGAGAAAACAGTATTTTCTGTTCTTCTTATACTTTAAAAAAAAAAAAAAGTCTGTTTCCCATAGGGCTATATGACATGTGTGAAGCTATTTATAATGACAACAAATACATTCTATGTGTAAGAATTAAGGCTCCTACATTGCTTATAGTAATATGTGAGGTTTTTCTTTTGCAGCATCATTAACCTGTTTTCTATGAATGGAAAATGTTTGAGAACCTGTCATTGAGCATAGCACAAACAGGGTCAAAATGGCAAGCTGTCTTCTCTGGATGTTCAGATGGGCACAGCCCCATGTGCTCACAGTTAAAAAAGCAAAAGTCCTGTCTAATTTCTCTGGAGATCTGAAGTCATTGAGACAGACACTTCCTTCCACTTGAGTTAGTCTGACAGCTCAGCTTACGAATTTTTCTTAGATGGGTCTAAACTTTTGTGCATATGACCAAAACCATAAACATCAAAGCACAAACACGAGTCACTGCTCCTCATCTGTTGTTGGTTTGTACCAGACAAAGGCTGCAGTGCTCCACCTCCCCTTTTCTCCATATGAGGAGAATGGTGAAGAATTGGGGCAATCAGGTAACTTGGAGCTGCAGGCTAAAACTTGGTGACATTTCTGTGAGATGTCTATTAAATGTGGCTGCTAAAGGGTAATTAAAAAAAAGAGGAAGAAAAGTGAAGAAGCAAACACTTAACAAGCTGGTAACTAGAAAGGGACTTGCCAACCTCATCTGGTTTCAAACTCTATAGTGAAAATGAATATTGCAGGGAAAAAAAAGACGTATTTTAAAAAGCCCAAATTTTCTTAATTTCATTTTTAAAATTTAAGGTTTTTTTAAATTTGTTTTGGCTCACCTCTTGTGTTAAAAACATCTTTTCTGGATTTTCCTGGTTTTACTGGTATGTTCCTTAAGGGCTAGAATAGGTGGAGGTACATTTCAGCATTTCAGGTACATTTAAAGGGAATAATTAAAAGTCTACATTGAAATACAGTAGGAATAAAAGGAACAAAAAACAATGCAAGTTCCTAACTGTTTTGGCAAGAGAGTCCTTCATTGAACTAACTTGGGTTTTTTCAGGGACCACAGATGTCTTCAATGCTCCACAACCCCATACTTTTTCTACAGCAATCATCTTGCAAACATACTTTACTCTCAGTTTAATCCTTGTCTAAAGTTTCGCTGGCACATATGTTGATGAGTTATATGAAGAGATGCTACTGATACTGCTATAGAGGCAAAAGCCCATCAAAAAAATCAGGGTTTTAGCAAAGCTGTTGTTTTGTTGTCGTTATTGACTCTGGTTTGGAGGTGCAGAAACACACTGCGTTGCTGACATGAACTGCCTCTACAAAGTGCAGTAGATGTGGCTGACAAAAGGCTTTCCAAGTTACTAAGTCCTGTGGTCCTTAGTAGACAGGACCAGTCCCCAAATATTAGGTCCTTTGAATCCTGAAAAAGTTTTTAAAGATTTGCACAAAGACACTGTTTGGATTGTTTTTGAAACACAATTTCAGAGAGTATTTTTTCTGGAAAAGAAAAAAAAATTAAATTTTCTTGCAAAATGGATTCCTGTTAAAACACTTTTAAAACTAAAAGATTGACCCTTTTTACAGCACGAGGGGTGCGGGAGAAGTTGTAATCAGACAGAGACAAGTTGCTTTTAAAGCCAGTCCAGAAATAATAAGGCAATTTGAGTAATAGAGATCTGCTTGTAATGAAGTATAGGTCTATGTTTATCTTTTCATGTTTTCACCACTCTTGATATAAAGTATCTGTTGCAAAATATTCTAACATTAAAAAGGTTTTGTAAAGAGTTACAATATCCATACAATGCAACTCAACAGTGAATTTTATAATAATTGTAATTCTTTTAATAATTATCTTTTTATTAATTCTTTTGAAGACAAACAACATGAAGTTGAAATCCCTTCTCCAACACAGAAAGAGAAAGAGAAAAAGAAGAGGCCGATGTCCCAGATCAGTGGAGTCAAAAAACTCATGCACAGCTCTAGCCTAACTAATTCCAGTATTCCCAGATTTGGAGTTAAAACAGACCAAGAAGATGTCCTTGCCAAGGTAGAGAATATATAAGTTCTTGAATCTAAACCATTGAATAAAAAGAGAGCATGGACTTGTCAGTCTTATTCCATCCTCTGCTTATAAACATTGATTTCAAGCTGTAGCACCAAGTGCTGGTCTCACTTGAAATAATCCAAATTTGCTGAAGTGGAAGAATAGCAAGTAAAATTAGAATCAAGCCATAAGGGTTAATTTCAGCATGAACAGGATTTCATCTGGAGATGGAATGTAAATTAGCATTTGTGTATGCATTAATAAAGCTGCTTTTTTGTAAATAGTATCTGAAAAATGAAAAGCAGATATACCATGTACTGTCACAGGAATGAAAATATATAACAACCCTAATTTTTAAATATGCACAACTGGTATATAGCACTAGAGCTATCCTTCCTATTTTTAGTTGTATCATTTTATGTACATCCTTAGTGTTTGGGTTTTTTTAGTGAAATTTCCTATGATGTTTTTTCATGAGCAGCTAACTCCTTGGCAATAATAGAAAATTGGTATGAAGGCATTTTTTATTGTGTTTTGCATTTTAAAATATGCCTATCCTTACATTTTCAGGAATCTTATTTGAAGAGTGTTTCTGAGGAGAGAGCAGCAGAATTGTAGCATCTCTGGAGGTTTTCTCCTCACTGAACTTTGTTGTCAGAGGGCAATGAGATAGCAAAGTGTGTTAGTTAAACTCATTCAAGACACTGTAGTATGTTTCCTTCTGGAGCAATCCACTTAAAAGGCACTCTTTCCTACTTAGGGAATTAAAATCTGAAAAGTTGCTAGATACAAATTCCAGTTTCAAGATTAGTAGCAGCACCAGAGTTTAGCCATTCCAAAGTTTAGCATGTAACTTTCTCAGTGGAAGGTTTGAATCTTCATGAATATTGTTTGCAGTTGTTTCAGTTAAAAATTGCTGGAATTTGTGTGTTAGGTTTTGACCTGTTTATTGCTTGATTCTACTCTAGGAACTAGAAGATGTGAACAAGTGGGGCCTTCAGGTTTTCAGAGTAGCAGAGTTATCTGGAAACAGACCTTTGACTGTCATCATGCACACTATTTTTCAGGCAAGTAGGAGCAAGTAGGGTTTTTGCTTGTCTTGGAGATTTTTCTGTGCTTTGTAATCTAATTGTTTTTCTTCTGCTTTTAAAGGAACGGGACTTGTTAAAAACTTTTAAGATTCCAGTAGATACTTTAATAACTTACTTGATGACCCTTGAAGACCATTACCATGCAGATGTGGCATATCACAATAACATACATGCTGCAGATGTTGTTCAGTCAACCCATGTGCTACTATCAACCCCAGCATTAGAGGTAAACTACACTGAGAAGGAAAAGTGGTAGTCATGAGAGAAGAGGACATCCTGAGAGTCTTCTAACTAAATCTTAGTTCTGGCCATATTTTTAAAAGAAATCTTAACATTTCTTCCATGAGTATCTTTTTTTTTTTAAAGATACTTTGTGAGGATCTAAGTTTATTTACATGTAAATATTGGTCAAAAAACATCACATATTTTTCTTTTAAATCATGCAGATTTGTGCTGTCATAACCTTTTTCATTGTATGCATCCACAACGCATATCTTGTTTCCACCATCACATTATTAATACTGCATTCTGTTCTATTGTTATTGCCCATGTGGGATTCTCACTAACCACAGTGAGTGGAATTGCTTAGGAAAGATAGTGATAAAATAGGGTTTCCTCAGTAGGGCCTTTTTGGGTTTTTTTGTTTATTTTTCAGGGTATTTTTTACTTTTGCATATTTATTCTGGTCCTAAAAGACTAATTTTTTATTTGTTTCTAAGGCAGATTGGAACATGTACTAAATTTTCACTAGACTATCTCTTTTTTTTCTTTCCTTAAATATTTTTAAATTGTTTAGAAAAAATCATATGTTCTTCTCATAGTAATTCTCTTTTTGAAAGTTCTTAAATCTCTGAAGTAGGACAAAAGGGAGATTTTCTCTTTTTTAAATACAGTTCAGATCTTACTACAGCAAACATCGATATATTCTAGCATACTGTTGGGAAAAGGCAGGTAAAGCAAGCTGTTGAGATTTTAGTAATTCAAAAAGATTTGCCTTCATTTTCAAGAATGTTTTGTCTGTGTTTTGTCTGTTTTTCATAATGACCAGTCTTTCATGTTACTGATACATCTACTTTCTTGTTAAAAAGAGGGTTATAAATGGACATTAAGACTGTTGGAAGGTTTTGATCCTCAGAGACTTGGGAATTTTCTTGCTCATGAGAAGGAAGATAGATAATGTTCTTAAAACACCACTGGCTTCACCAAACAGCTGGACTAGTCACTAGTAACATTTTGGGGTTTTTTTTCTACATCAGGTTTTTTTCCTCATGGCCTTTTTTTCAGCAGAGCTTTAGCTGGTAAAATGGCAATGTCCACCCAGTGCCACTGCTGCTCTACACACTCCTGAGCTGTTCTTAATCATTTATGAAAGCAGTTATATAATGTGGGTGCTTCTGACAACAGGAGATTGGGCTCACTGAAATTCCAGGTCCGTTTCAGTGCTCTCTTCCTATCTTCCTAATAATCTCATGCAAATGGAAAAATCACTAACTGTTAAGTAAGATGTCTTGTAGGCTGTCACCATTTTCTTTAGCATCATGTAGGAGATGTGCATATTTCAAGTACAGGACAATACATAGGAGTCAAGCTGAAATATTTAACTTCAATTTGTTCTGTAAGTTAGAAAACTGTTCTTAATTGTCTAATAAAAGTGGATTTATTTACAGACTGAAGCTGGAAATACTTCAGTTGTGACAGAATTTAGTGATACTTTCAGTATGAAATACAGATCACTTTACTTCGGTGAAACTCAAAATATTTATGAGATTGTACATATTTGATGATTTTACAAAAGGTTGTGATAGCGTATGTATAAAGTCTCTAGAGCTGGTAGTGTATTTCAGATTTTTTTTGCTTGTTCTGATCTAGATTCAAAGTAGGGTCCTTTTTATTGAAAACCCTTTCTCACTGATTAGTGATTGTCATTTCTGTTTCATGATTTTCTAGGCAGTGTTCACTGATTTGGAAATTCTTGCAGCAATTTTTGCCAGTGCCATACATGATGTAGATCATCCTGGGGTTTCAAACCAGTTTCTTATCAACACAAGTAAGTCTGATGTTCAGTGGTTTTTTCAGAAATTTGCTGCAAGATCTGCACATAGCATCTGAAAAATACACAGTTCATTCCTTGTTTGCTTCTGTCTGTAACTTTTCTCAGTAAATAGACAGGTATTTGTATTTTAAACTGGATGTTATTTTGCATTTCTTGTAACTTTAGAAATACTTTACATAGTACCCTCTAGCAAGACTTACTAAGAACTATAAACCTGGCATTCTTTCAGTTTATTGGATGTGGTCTCTCCCAGAAAATAGCTGATTTATATTAAATTAATAAACTTGTAGGAGAAAAATGAAGGAAGATTAAATAAAAAAATTTAAAAAGGAAGACAAGAGTTTATTTGTTTTTATTGGAAGCATATCATATGACCAATGATAGAAATTCAGAAAACAGGTTTCTTTTTTGCAAACTAACTGTCAGACCTATCTCTCTCTCTGCTTGGATGCTGTACTTGGCTTTTCATCTCTCATGCGTAGTGGACTGAATTTTCTCAGCCTGTTCCTGAAGACTCTGGCAAATCTGTTTGTTCTTTTTTTGACCCTAATGTCATCTACAAATTTGAAACCCAGTGTACTTGTTCTGCATTTCTCGAGGCTGTTGTCTGCAGCATTGTTGAACCTCTCTCCACTTTTTAGTCTTCTGCTGAAAGACAGTGTTAGCTTCATTGAACCTGATTGTGACACATTTACTGAGCGGCTTGTTGCCCCAGTGTAACCTGCTTTGATTTCATTGGCATATGTCACTATCATCAGTGTGTAGTACTTCATAGGTCAGTACATCATACTGTTATTTCTTTTGCTGTCTGACTTCTTTTATAATAACTGACCCAGAAGTTTAGAGGTGAAATAATGATAACAGTCCAAGCACAGAAGAAGAAAAAGCAACAGAAATGGAAACATACCTAGATTTGTGTCTTTTACCCATTTGGTTGCACATTTATAGATATTTTGCACATGAGTGTATATATATATTGCACTGGTGCTAAAATAGAATGACCCCAAATCAGCAGTACAGTTTTAAGAAGGGAGCTCCTCCTCTGGCTCATTGCTGCTGTGTATTCAAAGATGTTCATTCCAGTTTAGTCTTCATCCAGTTTTGTTTGTCTTAATGGCCTGAGGGCCACCCTATAATGAAATCGAATTTGATGACTCATCTGCATGGAGGAGGATTGGGATTGACTCTTGATTTTTTTTTTTTGTGCTTTATTGGTAACTAATACAGTTCAGCAACATAGGATAGGCAGAGAGTGAATCAAACTTTGGGCACAAAACAATGTATAATACCTGAATTTTTAAGAGTGGGCATATGTAAGTAAAGTTTTTCTTTGTTTGCTTAATCTGATATTGAGTATCAGGATATATTAGTGTCTCTGAGGTTTTATGAGGAAATAACAGAGTTGTTCAGGTTTAAGCGGGACAACTGGCTAGTTGAAGGGAGAGTGGTGTTACATAAAACTTTCACTTTCAGGCAGATGGTTAAAATTCAGCTAAGTCAAGTCATTCTGATGCTGATACTTAGAAGAAATATCTTGTTTTTCTCGGTTCAGGTTTTGATAGAGGAGGCTCCTTTGTCAGTCAGCTAACCTAATTAATTGGAACAGCTGTTGCCAAGCTGGAAGAAACAAAGGGATTTTGTCCCTTTTAAATTTTTCTGTGTACAGGGAATAAACTGTAGGGACAGAGACAGAAAAAGACCATCTAATGTAGGTCTCTCAAATCCAAAAAAAACCCTCTAGTTTTTTTTTTCCAGTGAACCTTAAAATGTATTAAGATTTCACTAAGAAGTATAAGAATACATTTTAAAAAAAAAACATAATAGACTTAGTTATTTAAAGTATGTACATATTTGCCATATTTTTGGCTTATTCTTTATAATTAGTATCATGATTTTTCTGAATATTATTTTCCTATTTTAAGTCTATTACAGAATTGTCAAAGAAACTGACCCTCTTGAATGCTATTAAAGAATAAAAAAAAATTAATTGCATTAGCATCAACAGAGATGCTTATTTGATGACTATAACTGTCTTTCCAGAAAAATATTCTTGAAGCTTATAATGTGTTACAGAGGTTACCAAGGGGGAACTTTCTTCCGTTTTCACATCTATTTCAAAGCTGAGTACATTTGAGCTCTGTGTGTAGCTCCAGCACATCCAAAGTATTTTGGCAATGTCGAGTGTTTTGCAGTTGTGGTTCATCAGAAGGCTTTGAAAGGAAAGTCACCTTTGTAACAAAAATAAGTAGGCAAGCTTTGTATGTGTTCTGTGAAAGATCATTTTACAAACTTGCTTTCTTTCTACTTCTGCTGTTATAGTTTTGCTGCCATTGGGATAAGGAAAGACAGAGGAAGAGTTTCCTGATTCAACAGATCGATTTATTCAAGACAGGAGAGGAAGATAGCAGGAGAATAGATAATGAGATTAATGAAATCTGAATATCCAGAGCTTTTAGAGGTCTCCCATTGAGCTAGAGGCATTTTAAAACATAGCTGTCTTAAATAAAGAGGAAATAAAGAGGAAAAAAGTAGAGTAGACTGATGTGTGGTTAGACTTTGGATAGAACAGCTGTAATAAATAGTTAATATTAAGTTAATATTGCACATGACAAGTATGATTGCATAAAAAGTATTAGGGATTTTTATGACACATTTATTTACAAGTCTTAAAGCATATGCAAGCTGACTGCATGGTATTCCTGGGTAGAAGCTAAAGCTGTGCAGAAAGTTTTAGTAACTGCTTTTGTCAGAGCTGTCTGTTCAGCAGTTCTAAGCAGACAAATGTTGACCTTATCTGTGTCCTTAGCACAGGCGTGGCTGTGCAGGTGTACATTATTCTCACAGCCGTATGGGGTGACAGAGTTAAGAATACTTCTGTTGGCAAAGGCAGCATTACAACCAGCATCAGGCACTGACCATGCCTTGCGTATGAGGCTGCAGGCAAGGCCACTGCATGCATTTTCAAGCCACATGATGTTAGAAGACCAGAAGCATAGCTGTTACCATCCTAATGAGCCTCCTCTCAACATACCCAGTTGTCATGGACTAATGACTGTAGGCCTAGTTTGGTAGGCATCTGAGTGTCTTAGCTAACTGCAGAAAGAAATTATTTGAAAACCAAGATGTGTGCTAGCTGCAGCAGACCAGCAACAAAGCCTCAGCTATGTATTTCCAGGTCTGAGTGCTGGAAAGCTGAAACTTGACTAACAACAGAATTTTAGTTGTCATGTTGGATGGAGGCATGAGTGTGTTTTAGTTGAGGTATGGTTATGTATGTAATATTTTCCAAGTGACCACATGCAGATATGAAAAGGTATTCTGAAAATTACTTTCTCGGGGTTTTTTCTAGCTTGCCACTCAAGGCACATGTACATGCATCACTGCAAAGCATTTTCTTTGTTTTTCTCAATGTGCTTTGCCTCGACCTGTTAAGATGTTCAGTCATTAATTCTGTAACTTTTGATACAGTGTGAACTACAGGAAGGCTATTTCTAAAAGATTATCTATAAATCTTATTATGAATGAAAATGAATCTAAAAAAAAATCTTAAGGGATTTTGTAGAAGCATAGACTTTGGTAACGTTCTGGTGGGCAATTGTTATTGCAGATTCTGAACTTGCCTTGATGTACAATGACTCATCAGTACTGGAGAATCATCACTTAGCTGTGGGTTTCAAGCTGCTGCAAGAAGAAAATTGTGACATTTTCCAGAATTTGACCAAAAAACAAAGGCAGTCATTGAGGAAAATGGTCATTGATATTGTGAGTTCTGCTTGATTCCATCTTCCATAGAGCTAGTAAATTGAATAATAAAGTGCAGAAGCATATTATGATAAATTAGGCATGTAAACAATGAAGTAAAAGTTTGAATTTTTATCATGTGATATCCAAACATGAATAGTGGGTTCCTTTAAGTTTCAATAATCATCGAATAATATTTTTAGAATGTATACAATTCTGTTTCAAGCTGGTTTTATACTGACATGTATGTCATTCCACCATCACAGTAAGAAATTTGATACTGAATTGATGGTGAATCTAGGCTGACCAGATCATTTTGAACAATTCTGAACAATCATTTTATCATAGTCTTAAAATAACTAAAAGGAAAACGTACTATTACGGACACGAGTGACTTACATGGCTCAGCCTTTTAGCTTGTATTCAGACACAGAAGTTATGGGTTCCTCCAAAAACTGTTTGTTTAAATGTTCAAAGGTTTTTGGTTTTTGTGTTTTGGGGTTTTTGGTTTTTTTTTTAAAAAAAAAAAAAAAAAAAAAAAAAAAAAAAAAAAACCAAACAAAAAACACAGTAGAATAATTTACATAGTGTTCATTTTTTGTTTGTTTCTTTCAAGGTCCTTGCAACAGATATGTCTAAGCATATGAATCTACTGGCTGATCTAAAAACTATGGTTGAAACTAAAAAAGTGACCAGTTCTGGCGTTCTACTTCTTGATAACTATTCAGACAGGATTCAGGTAAGAAAATTCATCTGCAATTGGTCACTTGTATTAATTTACATACTTAATAACATTGGCTTCCCCATTCTCCAGCATGAATTAGATAAGCTATGTGCTCTCGCACCATGACTCGCTATTTCCCTCTGTTTCCTAACTATGACATGGTCTGAGTGACTCTCTGAGAGAATAATGAAGTGCTAGAGTAGTTCTGGACTAAATGAGATTTTGGCCTTCCCTTCAAATTATCAGCATGTGATTGTCTTTCTCAGAAAGATATCCTGGCCTTTATACAGGCAGAAGCAGCAGAAGCAAGGTAATTCATGGCTGTTACTGCAAATGTGAAAAACACCCAAGCACATAAGATTTTGCTGTTTAGAATAAATCTTTTACTACATTTTCAAGATGGTTTCACAGTCACCAGAAGTGTAAATGGAAAGGGAGCTGCTATTCTATTCTGCAGTGTAATAACACCACGATGTGTTCAATCTATTTCAGGTTCTTCAGAATATGGTGCACTGTGCAGATCTAAGCAATCCAACCAAGCCGCTCCATCTCTATCGCCAATGGACAGACAGAATAATGGAGGAATTTTTTCGTCAGGGAGATCGGGAAAGAGAGAGGGGAATGGAGATAAGTCCCATGTGTGATAAGCACAATGCATCTGTAGAAAAATCACAGGTAATTGATTTCAGTAGGCACATAAACATTTTGACAGAAAAGGATGGTACATAGCCATGTTTTGAATAATTTCTGAATGCACTATTTCCTTTTTTCTACTGAGTTAATTAATTCAGCTCCTGAGTAATAAGTACGGGGAACTGAGATTTTTACTGTGAAAACATAGTGCATCTCTGTATTTGCTGAAGGGATTCCATCAGTGTCATGACTTGCAATGCAGCATACGCATGAAAAGAGATTATTGTACAGCTGCTCATTAGGGTTTTGTTCAAAATGAGAGTTATGTATAAAGCAGCTGTTTGGCTAACTAGATGCAGTACAGTTATTTGGATTGAACAGTTCACTTGAAAACAAATCCTTTCCAAGCTCTTATCCAATATCCTGAATCAGACTTTTGAAATGTAAAAGACTTTATTTACTACATAAACTGGTATGGTTTCCTGTCAGCCAACTTTAAGGGTGATGCGTATAGTGTCTCTTAATAGCATTCTATTTCTCATACTTCGCATGACTTATAAGCATAATTATTTATGAATAATTATATTTTTTTATTATTTGAAACAGGTGGGTTTTATAGACTACATTGTTCATCCTTTGTGGGAGACGTGGGCAGATCTTGTTCACCCAGATGCCCAGGATATCCTAGATACACTGGAGGACAATCGAGAATGGTACCAGAGCACAATCCCTCGAAGTCCCTCTCCTGCACCTGATGACCAGGAAGAGGGAAGGCAGGGTCAAACTGAAAAATTTCAGTTTGAGCTAACACTGGAGGAAGATGGTGAGTCAGACACTGAAAAGGACAGTGGAAGTCAAGTAGAAGAAGACACCAGCTTCAGTGACTCCAAGACTCTTTGCACCCAGGATTCAGAATCCACTGAAATTCCTCTTGATGAGCAAGTAGGGGAAGAAGTAGAAGAGGAGGAGAACCAAACAGAACCCTGTGTGGTCGAAGATCATTCTCCTGACACATAACAATGAAAATGCAGTCTCTTTCTCTCTTATACTCTCTCCCTTTCTTTTCCTCTTTCTCTCTGAGTTTTTTTGTTTTGTTTTGGATTTTTTTTTTTTTTTTTTTTAATTTAGGTAATGGTTTCCAAAGTGTGTGTCATATACTACAACCATGGTCATAACTTGCTGTCATCTGCCAGGACAATTGTTGATCAAAACTGACATTGATGACTCAGTTTGGCACTCAGGAATATCGTAATCAGAATTTTCACCTCAATGGCATCAGAAAGCAGGGGGAGAACATCCATAAACTACATTTTAATAAGCTCTGCATTTGGCAGATTCACTTAAATAAAGCAAATATTTTCAGAAGAGTACCACCTGCCAACCAAATGCTGGTGTGCTTTGATAGTTTTTGAATTCATTGTATTTTGCAAGCAAAGCATTGCATAATGTTCATCTTGAGAGGAAACAGACAGAAAACAAATTGAGGTTCCTACTGGAAAACAAATTCATGTAAATGATGGGACACAACATGATTGTTACCAACAGGAAGATGAGCTGTGAAAATTGCATAATTTTCTAATTTCAAGTCTTCCTGAGACATGACTGAAAAAAGTGTGACCCAGTGGGTTGCACTAACCTCTCCATTTTGTATAATATGTGAGAGATCTTTTGTAGAGCTTACTTTTATTAAGTGTACCAAGGTATTATATTAAAAAAACAAACCACTTTCATCTGCCAATGGTTATTTTTTTTCCAAAGAGGAACTTGCAAGTTTTCAATACAGATCTGTGCTACACTGGATAATACTTCTAGGGGTTTTTTTTTTGCTTGGGGTTTTTTGTTTGTTTGTTTGTTGTTTGGTTTTGTGGTTTTTGTTTGTTTGGAGTTTTGTTTGGTTGGTTTTTTGTTCGTTTTTTTGTTTTGTTTTGGGTTTTTTTGTTTGGCTGGTTGGTTTGGTTTTGTTGGGTTTTTTACCTTAGAATCTTGTGGTATTATTGAGTTGTAAAAGTCTATTTTGTATATTAGTGAGTTCCAGGAATATCCTTTGTGTTACATTTTTTTGTATAATAGCTTTTTTTTGTTTGTTTATTTGTTTTTCATCACAATTTTCCCAAATGTATTAGTGGACTTACATAGTGCTCTTGCCCTCATAGTGGCCTGATCCTGCCAGTTCTGTCTTACCACAAGAAGTGGTCCTGTTGATACCAACTACAGCCACTAACGTTAAGATTTACAGAACCTGAGCCTGTAAAAAGAGTAATGAATTGTCATCAGTACAAAAGCAGCTCTCTTGCTATACTGATAATTTTTTTCCCCTGAAACATGGGGTTTCAGACTATTTTTAGCTGGGAAAGACAGACTGCTAAATCAGAACAGGCTATTACAATGTATGGAATATTTGTTCTGGTGAAAAAAGCATTAGTGTAATATTTCGAATTTTGACTTAGCAACTTTTAATCTGGGTAGCTATCTAGTTAAATCATTTGCTAATCTGAGACGTGTAAACATAAAAATAATAATTAGTATTATTTTGTCATGTCTTTGTTGCAAAAAGAGCCATGCCAGTCTTGTCTTTTTATGTTTTAAGTAAATGAGCAATGCATCATCAGAGTTGTAGTTTATGCCATATTATTTCAATCTTAAATATTTTCAACCTTTATCCAGCTTGTGCTAAGGGAATCCTGCCTTTCAGTTTGATTGGTACTAAAAGCTTTCATAACTTGGAAAGCTAAAGGGAGGTAGGAGTTTGTATTTGTCATTTTCCAGTCCTGTTGTTTCTTCACATAAAAGAAGAAAAAAATTTATTTCCTACACTTTACTCTTGGTTAAAATTGTAGTTTTGAGTGTAGAAGATGGGAAATAGTTGCATAGGGAGGCGAGCAAACTCCAACACTGTAAAATTCTGTTGAAATGACACTATCAAGATAATCTCTTAACAAAAGATGATAGCAATGGCCATTATTTTCCCTTTGGATTCATTTTGTAGCAAATTTGCAGATATGAATACAGGGGGTTTAAGGTGTCAGAGATCTAGAATAAAAGCCTCTTTCAAAATACTAATAATTCAGCTGTTAAACGCATTTTGCATTCTTCTGTGTCCAGGTCATAGTTTTCTCTACCATTAGCCATCACAGGGCCTTAGCACAGAAGATGCTGAAGGAGGAAAAAGAATGAAGATAATTCATGGGGCTTCTTTCATGCTTTGGCTTTTTTTTTTTTTTAATCTTTTTTCTTTGTTATTTCTTCCTGAACCTGATCCATCTAAAACTCCTTTCAGTCCCCTAGAGTGCCTGGAACCTCAGTAATGCAAAAGCAATATAAATTCCAGAATAACCCGTAGGACCTGGAAGGTTTTGTAACTGCACTAATTGAAAGTAAATAGACATAAGACCGTATTGTGAAATATACACCTATACATGTGGACAATCAAATCATAGAAAATGATATAATTTCTTAGAGTTGGGGATATAATGCACTGTACAATCTTTTTTTTTCTCTTTTGCCAAAGTGTGTTTTAGCATTGTACACTGCTTTAAAACAATACAATTTACGAGTGGCTTTATGTGTTGTGAATATTTTGCCATAAGAAAATGCTGTGGGTGAGTAATGAGTGGGAGGAAAAAAGAAAAATCACCTTGTTTATAACAGTACACTTTAGCTTGCAAGTTGCTGTACTCAGTAATGCTGTATTTAAATTCTTAAATTGTTTTGTGTCATTAAAAATGATAATGAAAGAATATCAATAGAACAAATAGCATTCAGAAGTTTAAAAAACTTGAATGAGATAGATTTTATAGAAAGCTTTGACAGTTCTTTCAAATGCATTATTTATTTTCTGTGCCATGCATTTTTCTCACCAAATGACCTTACCTGTAATACAGTCTTGTTTGTCTGTTTACAACCATGTATTTATTGTAATGTACATACTGTAATGTTAATTGTAAATTATCAGTTCTTATTATAACATCATCCGTGTCAGGGTGGTGTTGCTGTATTTGGAAACTCTTGGTGAGAGAATGATTATTGTGTATACATATTCCTTGTACATTTTTTTTCTCCTGTAATATATTCAATGTCACCATAGAGCTCATTTATGGAAGATTCACGAAAAGTATAAAATACGTAAAGATATATAAATTTAAAAAGCTTCAGGTCTTTGGTCCCAGGGCTGTGCCTTAACTTTAAACAATATTTTCTTGTTTTGCTGCATTTGAAAGTAAGGTAGCCTTGGGGCTAGGGCTGGGCATTTCTACCATAATTTTAGTTGCTAACTGATGGGGGATACTCTTATGAGCTAATATATGTGATACTACAATAAACGTTCATTCTTGACCCTGCTGGAAGTTCGAGCTTTTCCAGACTTCTGGTAATGTAATTGTATTGTCTCTCTTATTATCTTTTTACAGCCTGTCATTGGGGATTATTGCAGACGTTTTTTGTTCCTAAAAAAATAAATGATGCTGCATTTCAGTACTGGGTTGCACTGAAACAGCTTTGGAAAGCATCTCTGATAAGCATTTGATTTCAACGCATATTGAGAAATGGAATAATGAGAATTAAAAGGGTATAACTCATACACTTTTACAATTGTCTGTAATGTCTCTTCTTTAGTAGCACAAATTATCACTGTATAAGCAGAGTCCATAAAGTAGCACAAAAGACAGTTTCAGTCTTGGAAATGCTTTCCAACACCAATATTAGGGTTACTAGTAGCCAAAGTTTTATTTTATATAGGTGTAGCTAAGGCTTTGTACAGGTGTGTATAGCATAATGCACTAGAGCTCTGCAGAAGAGCGGTAAACAGTTAGATGTTTTAATAACACTACTATTAGATTTGCAGGTTGGACTGAGCATCTCTTGCTGTTTGACTTGTCACATTGCTCCAGGCTATTTAGAGCTGGTATCACTGAATTTGCCAGAGTAAGGTAAATACCTCTCCTCCATTCCAGTGATGCCCAGCCCTCATAACTTGTGACTTCTTCACGAAAGGAGAGATTCCTTTTCAAGGAAAAACGGAATCTCCTTTTTGACACAAACTGTAGATTTTAGCAGCCCTGGCCCAAAGGAAATCGGATGCTTTTGTTTTATATGGTATAAAAGGGACACTATAACAACAGAAATCTTGAACAATTTGTTGTTACTGTTTTAATTCAATATTTTCTTTGGGGATGTCTTGAGAGTGGCAACTTGTGTGAACATTGCACATGGCTATTCTTTCACTGGTTTCTTAGCCTCTCTTTACAGCCTATGGGATAGTACTGTACATCGATACCTTCATATGAAATTTTATATGCAATGGAAATAAAAGCATGTGTTGATTCTGCCTAGTTACTGTATTTGATTTTTTTTTTTAAGTTAACTTTGTTTACGTATATCCCATAGTGTTGACATCTTAAGAGAAAATCTATTTCCAGAATAATTTCATTACCACATTTTTGTCACAATATTGTTTTGCATAGATAATACAAAATAAACGTGAGCAAATTGTAAAAGTCAGTCAAATATGGTATTTCATACAGGAGTCTAATCCACAAAGGTGTGACATACACTTATATTGGAAAGGCATTCTATTGGTTTTCTGGAAGTTTTACCACTGGCTTCAATGTCTTTAAAGAAACTACAAGTCTAGAGATTGTCTAGAGGAGCAATATGCTGGGATACCACAAAGAGGAAAAAAAAAAAGGTATCAGTTAAATCTCTGCCCCAAGTGGATGATAAAAAGAAATTGCTCTTAAAAATTCATAAATTGCAGCTTTTTTTCTTGAGGAAGAAATATGGTCTTAGTGCAGGTTGAACTTCTGAACTGGCTTTCATGATAGTGTCAGTCTCTGTTGTTCTGTGGAGTTGTTTACCTAACCGAAAACAGTTTCTGGTTGAATGCAAAAGAAGTCTGTGTTCATTTTTTTTCTTAAGTCCTTAGATCCTTCTTTGGGTTTGGGGGGTTAGTTTGCAAGGAGAACCAATTCCTTAGGATTCCTTTTCAGTCACACTTTTGTGGCAGAAAAGCCTGACAAGGGCTGTGTTGGGAAGATGAAGGATGCTGCACTGAGCAGTGGGCAAATAAAACTGTCACTCCCGTCAGCATCCTCCTCACATGCTCCCAGCAGCCTTAATGAAAAATGCATACATCATGGCTATTACAATAAGGAAGAAGGAGTCCCAAATTATCATTGGCACTACTAAAACCTTTTCAGTAAGCAGGTCAGGTACCACAGCCATGCACGTGGTAAGCGTGAAGCTGGCAGCGTTAGCCCACTGCTTCCTGCATCCTCTGTCAGCACTTTGTCACTCTGTGCATGGAAATTATGAATCAGAATAGGCAAGTTTCAGAGCAAAAGCAAAATGTATCCCATGTTTCACTGCAGACAGCTGCTGCTGTAGAAGTTCAATGTATTTTTGAACAAATGACTCTTCTCTTTCCTAATGAGACAAACAGTCTGAATAACTGCAGCTTTGTTTCCTTAATCTCTCTGCTGCTTGGAAAATGAAAGTTACAGCTACTAGCACATGTAGTGTTTACTGGAATGATCACTCCAATTTCTCTACCAGGTGTGATTGATTTTGCTTAGTCTTTCCAGGGGAAAAACCACAGAAGTTCAAAGATGAACTAACCCTTTAGTTAGTTCAATTTCGTTTATCCTGCAAGATAAAGACAGTATCCAGCTTCTTTCTGTCAAACTGGTTGAGAAATCTGCAAAAGTAATAAAGGGGGATAGGTCCAAATAGAAATCAGAGTGACAAATTGGGAGCAAAACTTGAGCAGGAAGAAATACCCTCCAACTAAAATAATCCCATCCTGTCAAAGACATCCCATAGCTTGAATATGGACATTAGGAAAACTGAGTTTGAGTTTGATTTTTGTCTCAGTTCCCTGGGTGC